CTCGAAGATTCTACCAAAGTGAGTCTTTGTGCCTTTAGCAATAGCTTCAGCAGCGACATCACAGTACTCTCGAACCTTCTGATGAAGCTAACAACCTTTGTCGACGAGCTTTTGCCACTCCTTATCCATAGCGGCTTTGGCCTCAGGGGTTCTGTCGATCTCGGCTTGGTTGACTACTCGGGCCACCAAAGCAAACTGATCGGCGGTCAGACCCCAACTTATCCCAACAAGGACGCCCTTAAGCCTGTGCGATTCTGGTTGTGGGTTCTCGATCACCGGCATCGCCCGGGCAGCGTCCCTTGCTTCAGCTTCGCGAGCTGCGGCTTCACGCCTTAGCTTCGCCTGATAGCGTTCCTTGTCCGCCTCACGCTGTGCAACCGACACCATATGCCAATCTTCGCTTGAGGTATCAGGTGGGCGCTGGGATCCCCGTTTGTTGCGAACTAGCCGGATTCCATCAAAGTTGTATCCGGGTGGCACCGGAGTGCCATCCGGCATCATAGTCGGATCGTGGCTACTGGCCACTGGCTTTTTTAGGGTCTTTAGGTTTAGCGGCCTCAGCTTTAGCTGGGCTGGCGCTTTTGGCAACTTCTTCAAGTCCGGAACCTTTGGCTCCAGAGGACTTGTCATCGTCTTCGATGGGGATCGGTTCAGAGGCGCTGGCTTTCATCTTAGCTAGTTCCTCGTACAAGTCGATACCACTATCAAAGATGCCTTCGGGATCCAATGGGTCAACGACAGGTTCAGAGGGAATCGCTTTGGCGTTATCGTTCTTAGCGAAACAATTCTGATTGTCAAGCCGAGGTGGTCCCGCAGCAAAGTCCTCAGGAGATGCAAGAGGTAACACTAAGTCCCCTAGAGGGAGCTCCATTCGTTTCACCCGTACTATCTTGAGGTCGTCATTTTCGATGGCTTCACGGCTTCCCTTTCAGGGAGCTACAAGGTACTCCTGTCTCCAAATGAAACCAGGTTGCACGTGATAACCAAGGAAGATTCCGTCCTCTCGATCCTTTCGGGGCAAACTTAGAAGCATCAGTAATGTTTTGCTTCGGGTTGTTCCAGAGTAGCACCTTCGCTCCGAAAGGGATCAATCTCCCGACAAAGTCTTCCCCAAACCGTTCGGTCCATGGAATCATGCCGGCATCGACCCTCCTAGAGAGATTTATAATTGCATGGTGCGAGCGGCCACAGTTTGTCAGGAAGACCTGATTGTGGAAGGTTAGACCGCGTCCCTTCCAGGATAGTCCTGATTTCGCGTTCGACAACAGCTTTGCTTTCGTCCACGTATGGACGGGAAGTGTTGTGCCTCACACCGTACCATGCTATTGCGCCTTCTAGCTCAGGTGCATTGTCCGAATACACGGTTCCTACCT